CTAGCCTGACATTTCAATAAAATATTCATAATAATTATTGTCAAGTTCATATTTTAAACATGAATAATGCAAAATAGAACAATCTTATCACTCCATGCTAAATCCGTATACAAAAGAATTTATTCGGAATGTTCTAAACGTTTGTTCAAGGTACTTTCCAAGGTACTTTCGTTTGATGCCCGATAAAATGTGGCACTTTAAATACTTTTGTATAAAACAGTTTGTATTTCGTCGCCCCGATAAATTACCTCCAACAACAGAAAAGTACTGTTTTAGGTGTTAAATCATTCTAATTGATGGCTTTTGTTGGGCAAAAGTATTTTTAGATGATATTTTTAAACCATCTTGAGGCAGTTTAAACGACTCAAAACAAAAGGCGAGGGCTAAGATTTTCGACACCGGTGTCATTGGCTTATAAATGAGGCACAACTAATGAAGATTATTTTTTTTTGAACAATAAATAAACTTGCCGGATAATCATTAGTTGACCCAATCCAAGACACAAGTTGAATTTTGATAATTCCTGGTTCTTGATTGGATTAATTTTCTACCTATCAATCAATCAAATCCAACCAAGCTGCGAACAGCTAAAAGCTGATTGTGATTTATAAAAACTCAAATTTTGAACATTCCAATGGCTTCTGATTGGGTTGATTTTTATATTTAAACCAGAGTTCATAATTCCAGATCAAACGTTTCTATCCAAGAGCCGGGAATAGAAAAACGTTGAATTTTGATAATTCTTGGCTCTTGATTGGATTAACTTTGTACTTTCCGGAAAGATTTCAATTAATCAAATCCAACCAATCTGCGAACAGCCAAAAGCTGGATTATGATTACATCAGTAGGTAAATAATTTGAAATAGTTATGTATTAATGTACCAAAAAGGACACAATTAGGGCGTTTGCTTTGAAATTTAAAAACAATAAAATTAAAAGTCAAAAGACCCATAAACTCAACAAATGAATTCGGTAGCTGTTACATGGCGTAGAGGACAAATCATCAAAAAATCATGAAATGTTTTGACTGTCGAAAGTTTACTACTTAAGTCATAAAGTCAACACTCATATTAAATTTCGGCATCATATAAGTAGACAACGATTCCCATAAAAGTGTCTCGTAAAAGAAACTAATAGTCGTTTCAAGGGGCGGTCTTCTCAAAATTAATGAGTCTGCGAAAAAAACTATATTCTTTATGGGGTGAATGAATTTTTTACCTGAGGGTGAAAAGGAACAGTGGCTATTTTTGGATAAGACTGGATAGTAATTGTAGAATTACCATTTCTCGACGCTTTAAATAATATATTACGATACTTAAAAAAAATTTTGTAAGAGTAAAGAGTAATATTGATGGTGCGTGTAACGTCCAATAATTTTTTCCTTATGATTAAGATTGGTAAATAAATACAAAAATATTCGCATGTGGTGAACACCTTTTTAGAAAGAAAAACGTGTAGATAGCTATTAATCATAGAAGCTCGTCGTTTTTGATCTTGCGGTTAGGTTGTAGGTAGCTACCCGCTACAATGATAAATGAGCGATTCAATTAAGGAACGAGGGGTGACCCAAATAAAAAAATTTGCTCGAGAAAATTACTCATATTTTTTTAGCTGTGCCGTCTCTGAATGATAAAGCCACCATTTTCCCTTATCGTTGTACAATGTAAAATTATTACACAACGGGCCTGGATGGCAACGAATAAGGGAGAAAGAGGGTGCGGAGTGGGAAGGAGAGCCGAGAGCCGCGGTGAGTATTGATCATCCTGGCGTTACCCCCTCGAACGGGGAAATCGGAAGAATCTTCAAGGGCATGGCAGGGAGGAAATAAGGGGGCCGCACTTAGTTAATTTAATTAATCGAGCAGCTCTTTGATGAAGCCAATATCTTACGTGCGGAGGAGTTAAGAAGGAGTTGGGAGTTGAAAGAAGCCACTTCATAGTGGTCTCCTTTGATTCGCTCGATAAACTTTGCCGCAGTTTCGCCGTCAGGGAGTAGATTTAGCTTGAACGAAATATAATTTATAGAATTTGAATAAGAGTTTCTCAGTCAATGCCCCGATAAAAAAAAAATCATTTATAAACAAAAATCTACAATTGGGCTCGAGAACAATGACGTTGACTAATTATATTTTCCATATCGTTTCTTATAATCTCAACCTGATTAGTATCCTTTCAATTAATAAACTGATCGATAGTGGAACTTGGAACCATATTACTATACTAAAAATGTACCTATCTACATTTTTCCACGGCCGAGCGCTAATGGGCGGCCATTTCGTCCCAAATCAGTAACAATTAGTAATTGTATCACTGGACAGAGAGAGGACATTATCGGAATGGAAAAAGCGGTTTTTAATAAGACCGCGCCGACCTGGGCCCCATTAAAATTCAGCAGGTGTTAAGGTTTTGTTTATCTTTATTATGGCCAGCCGCCTGGTTTAAAAATGCATTTTTTTCCTTCTTGCCTATAAATGCATAGCATAGCCATCGCAGTACAAAATTCCTTATTCTACTAATCGATAGATAGCTTGTTATGATAACGTTCGAATCGAATCAGCTGATAATTCAAGATGGCGATGAGGCATCAGGTACAAAACAGACCCCAAGAAACTGTGCAAGTGAATGTCAAAAACATAAATAACATGAATTACAGCAGCGCCAAAAATGAAAATTTCTGTCAAAAAAACGTTCTCAAACTGATAAAGATACTTTACAAATTCACAGAAAATACACAGTCTCTTATGGACGTCAAGTTTGTTATACCTCGCCATGCCGCGATGTCATCTTGTACGTCAAACATTAAATCGCCCTATACCATTTAAAACGAAACAGGCTAAATATCTGATGTCACTTTTATTTTATTTTTTTAATCGCTTGTACATTGTGTGAGTGTTTGAAACATTTTCAGCACTTACTCAACCCTCTAGAGAGGTGCGACCAACCCTTAACATTCCAAATGGAACAGGGGGTTGAGTGATACCTTTTTCAAAAGAGCGATCTTTTTTTCAATTGAAAGAATTGAATGCTCTTTTAAAAGAGGTATCACTCGACTCCTTATTTCATTTGAAATAGTAAGGGTTGGTCCCACTTCTTCTAGAAGGTTAAAATTGAAGTTGTAAAAATGGTTGCAGAAAACTTCCCCTATTGAAAATCAAATTACGTGTACGAGTGATTTTTTGAAAAATAAACGTGACATCAGAAATTTTTGTCTTGACGTTAAGGCGCGAACTCAAATAGACGACTATACAACCCTTATTTTCACCAAAATGGAGAATCATTTCATGGTTGTAACGAGGTCGCAGGTCGCGAGGCTTTACTAATTTTTAACTTATACGTCAGCATACACAACCAGATTAGAACGTTTACTAAATGTGGTAAACCATAACTAACCTAAAAACAAATACCAAACCAAATAAAGGACGTTCCAGGTTTAATATATTGCACCAAATTCGCACTTTTGGTTTATTATTGGTGCTATTTTATTTCCCAACTCATCACATTAAAAACAAAATTAATAGGTATCTACCTATAAGAATATTGGGGGACCTAAAATATTACTGGTGCCTTGTCAACAATAAAATACGTGAAACTAAAAAGTTAGCTTCTGTAGGGCACAAAAATTTCAAACGAAGTCAACTTTTCTGTCAAATATAATTATGATATGCACACAAAACAAACGGGCTCCTATTTTGTTAATATTTTCTAAAAAAAAAAAAAAAACTGTAATTTACATAATTTCCTATATGTATAGTTCCGATGGGTCAAAAACATCTTTGGGCAAGTCCGATTTACACAATAATAAACAATTTTGACAAAATTTCCTTATTAAGGTTTGATTTTACAGATATTATTTTATTTTTATCAAACGTGCAATAATGGCGGATAATTAGATAAGACCTTGCGATATATAAAATGGTCGAGTTAATAATCTGCACCTTATCCTAACCTAATGCGTGTTTTCGTCCTGAAAATGAACTACATTTATATGTATAAATATAGGACCATAGGTAATAAAATAATACAAACATATAAACCTAGATTGACTATTGGTCCCATATGGTAACCAGTTCTTTAGGTGCATCAACGCTCTCATTTATTTGAAATTTTTCAGGAAACTGTAAATGTTTTATTTTTAATGTTCAAAATCTTAAAATATTTCCTTTTAACCCGATATTTATTGAATCTTTTTCAATTTCCTAATTGGAGATTACAGGGTTCTCTTCCAATATCCCTTCATGCTCCATTTCCTTCATCTTTGGAATACATTTCTCCCTTTTCACTAATTCTTAAAAAAAAATTCTTCTTCTGTAATATGTGGATGAGTATTTGAAGCTCATGTTTTGTCTTATATCATATCAAAAATACAAAAGCAAATACTTATTCAAATTGTTAAAAACTTTTCACAGTAACGCCATATTTATTGTTTACTTATGTTTTTATTTGACTGATGACAATTTATTAACGAACGACGCAAAAAGTATGAAATGCTACACCAAATTTTACCTGTGTCCAATTTTTACGTTTGCCGGACATTTTTCTAAGACCTCTATCTGACCTTATGATTGGTCGTGTCAGACGACGTTTTTTTAACGTTTAAGAGGTCACAAGATATGAAGATAACCACGGATTGACGTCTTCAATACAACGTTGAATTTGGTACAATATTATGACTACCTACAACAAAAATTGTTGAGGCCGGAGAGCTTAACATTATCTTTTTGAATGTATATCATGGAATGTTTCCTAAGAGGAAAGTGGTAGGTAAGGTACCCTTGCAATGCTCCTCAATATCACCTAAAATTATCTTCTTGATGTAAGTAGATAGTTTTTCTATACAGAAGGTTTTACAGCTGAGCGAAATTCCAGAAAGAACTAAAGAGATTGTGGAAAGTAAATGTTATTTTGCAATATTTGAGATATAGTAGATATTTAATTATCTATTCTATCTATATCGTTTGATTCAAAGTTCCTAATGGGATCAACAAAAATAAAACTCAAAAATCAAATAATTATTTACAACTTTAATACTTACAATCAGACTTTGCATCCGGTTCATCAAAATACAATAATTACTAATCAATCCTCGACATAAATAAGGAACATTTATTTGAAATGTTTATAACATTTTAACTATTATTTAGTCCGTTTCGTTTCTTGTTTATACAATAGGAAAAAATGACATTTTTGTAATCGTTCTTGTCACTTGAAATCACTAGGTTGCACTTAAAAATTAACTATATACACATAGGGAGATGTAGGGCTGCACTAAACTCATCAGCGTATATTTAGAACCAGTACAGGTCCTTGGAGGAGTCTTGCACTTGGGCTTCTAGACCTGAAAAAAAAAATAGTGATTAACGTAATTTTTGACACATGGAATCTCTCTAAACTGGGGCGCTCATTAGATATTAAAATTATAGAATAGAAAGAAATTACATATCTTTGGAAGTTACCTATTACCGGCTAGATTTTCTACGTTAAAAAGTAAAGATAATAAAATATTGATCACCCCGTATATCTTTAAACAGTGGTAGAATTATTTCCGATTACCGGCTTACGTGAAAAATTTCCTACAAGAGCCGAGAATAATAAAATATTGATCACTCTGTAATACTCTGCAATGACGGATACAGTGGGGGGAAGCAAGAGGGATTGAGTTGATGTATTCTTTTTTTTTTCTTCTAATAAATAAATATTCATACAAAATCAATAAGATTATGTACAGGGTGTTTTTTTATATATTGACACCCCTCTTACCGCCTTTACCTTTACAGGTAGATAAAAGGTGTAAATACAAAAGTTGTACAGTATTGGCTAAATTTTTAAAACCCATGGCCAAGAACAAAAATTGAATGTCAGAAATGTGAAATATCGCATGCTTTCCGCTTTTTTCAAACGGAGATGCGCTATATTTAATTCTATCTTCTTGAAGAACACAATTTCCCGAATTTCAAACTATGTTGCTATATTTTTGAAATCGGGAAATTGTACTATTCAAGAATATAGAATGAAATAAAGGACATCTCATCTCATCTCAACTGTTCAAATAAGACACACAGAAAAATTCTCAACTGAGTGAATCAGGTTAGTATTGTACTTGAGCAACATATTGGTGAATAGATGGCTGGGTCACCCATAAGTTCCGCAACAACGCAACAACGCAACAACGTTTGTATTTGAATAACTTGTCACAATATATTACTAGTTTGGTAAAGTAACATTACTAATTCTTGTTAAAAGGTCAATTGACAAAAAGTGGATAATCTTACAAATTCTGACTTTATATAATAAGTTATTTTTCAAGTACAAATAAGTGGATTATTGCGGAATTTATGAGTGGACCTCTGCGGGACGAGCGCAGCGAGTTCCGCAGCCATCTACTCACCAATATACTGTTGAACTGTTCAAGTAAGACATTCACCTGAAAAGTGTAGTTTTTAAACTAATGAGAATAATTCACATTTGAGTGAGTCAGGTTAGAGGTTACTATCTTAATTAAGCAACATATTGATGAATAGATGACGCTCGTCCCGCAGAGGTTCACCCATAAGTTCCGCAACAATCCACTCGTTTCTACTTGAATAACTTGTCACATTATATTACTAGTTTGGTAAAGTAACATTACTAATTCCTGTTAATAGGCAAATTGACAAAAAGTGGATAATCTTACAAATTCTGATTTTATATAAGTTATTGTTCAAGTACAAGGTGTTTTTTTATATATTGACATCCCACCTACAGCCTTCACCTTTACAAGTAGATGAAAGGTGTAAATACAAAAATTATACAGTAGCGGAACTTATGGGTGGACCTCTGCGGGACGAGCGCAGCGAGTTCCGCAGCCATCTATTCATCAATATATTGTTTAATTACGATACTAACCTGACTCACTTGAATGTGAGTTATTCTCATTAGTTTAAAACTACACATTTCAGGTGAATGTCTCACTTGAACAGTTCAACAGTATATTGGTGAGTAGATGGCTGCGGAACTCGCTGCGCTCGTCCCGCAGAGGTCCACCCATAAGTTCCGCTACTGTATAATTTTTGTATTTACACCTTTCATCTACTTGTAAAGGTGAAGGCTGTAGGTGGGATGTCAATATATAAAAAAACACCTTGTACTTGAACAATAACTTATATAAAATCAGAATTTGTAAGATTATCCACTTTTTGTCAATTTGCCTATTAACAGGAATTAGTAATGTTACTTTACCAAACTAGTAATATAATGTGACAAGTTATTCAAGTAGAAACGAGTGGATTGTTGCGGAACTTATGGGTGAACCTCTGCGGGACGAGCGTCATCTATTCATCAATATGTTGCTTAATTAAGATAGTAACCTCTAACCTGACTCACTCAAATGTGAATTATTCTCATTAGTTTAAAAACTACACTTTTCAGGTGAATGTCTTACTTGAACAGTTCAACAGTATATTGGTGAGTAGATGGCTGCGGAACTCGCTGCGCTCGTCCCGCAGCCATCTATTCATCAATATATTGTTTAATTACGATACTAACCTGACTCACTTGAATGTGAGTTATTCTCATTAGTTTAAAACTACACATTTCAGGTGAATGTCTCACTTGAACAGTTCAACAGTATATTGGTGAGTAGATGGCTGCGGAACTCGCTGCGCTCGTCCCGCAGAGGTCCACCCATAAATTCCGCAACAATCCACTTATTTGTACTTGAACAATAACTTATTATTGTATAAAGTCAAAATTTGTAAGATTATGATTATTCACTTTTTGTTAATTTGCCTATTAACAGGAATTAGTAATGTTACTTCACCAAACTAGTAATATAATGTGACAAGTTATTCAAGTACAAACGAGTGGATTGTTCCGGAACTTATGGGTGGCCATCCAATCACCAATATATGTACTTTTGAACTGTTTAAGTAAGACATTCACCTGAAATATGGTAATTTTTAAACTAATGAGAATAACGCATATTTGAGTAAGTCAGTTTAGTATCGTGATTAAACAACATATTGATGAATAGATGGCTGCGGAACTCGCTACGCTCGTCCCGCAGTGATCCACCCATAAATCCGCAAAAACCAAGATAGCACAAGTGCCATTTTAGCAAAGTATTGGGGATAACTGGGTCGGACATTCAGTAAGTCCCTCGTATATCTTTCAAAAGTCCTTGATCTTCCCTGAGACATATCTAGGATATATTTTGTTACAAAATCTCTCATACTGAATACTTCTTGGAAAGAAGTACCATGGACTGGAAACTCCTACGAACGTTCAAAGAGAACTCCTAGGGATGTTAAAAATACTTACAACATTCAAGGAGGTCCAGAAAGAACATACATGTGACATTTAAAAATGAATTCACACGAAAAAAAAAAAGAATTTCTATAGGGATATTCAAATATGAATTTCCAGGAACGTTTGGATTGACATGAGATTTAAAACGAAAGTCCTTTGTGTGTCATAATAATCGTAAATACCTTGAATAGTCGTTGGCGGAGGTCCTGCGCAAGTTCCGAAACGCTCAGAATCTCGGTTTGAAACGTTAAGACTAAATGGGATCTCCTGTACTTTCTGGTCTAAAGCCGGTTATAATCCAAATTTGAACCATTAACGGCTCTTGATTTTCTGGAAAAATTACCGAAGGACTCAAGAGCCGATAATAAACAAAATTTCAACTTTCACCGGCTCTTGATTATCTAGAAAAACTACCCAGCAACTCAAGAGCCGGTAAAAATCAAAATTTGAAATATTATCGGCTCTTGACTGTCCAGAGAAATTCTCCAGCGTCTAGAAAAATTACTTAGCAAGTCTAAAGCTGGTAATACTCAAAAATTGAACTATTATCGGATCTTGATTGTCTAGAAAAATTACAACAGCCGGTATTAATCAAAATTTGACCCATCACCGGTTCTTGATTGTCTAGAAAAGTTACTGAGGGACCCGAGAGCCGGTAATAATCAAAATTTGGGTTTCAAAGTGAAATTGGGAGCTCTAGAAAATTTCCAGTTAATCAAGAGCCGGTAATAATCAAAATTTGAGTTGCTACCGGCTCTTGATTATCTAGAAAAATTACGGAGCGACTCACTCAGATAGTACAAGTGCATACTAGCAACGTCTTAGAAATATCCGAGTCGAACATTTAGTAGATGTCTTTTAAAAATCCTTGATCTTCCCTGGGACATACCTAGGATATTACAAAACCTCTCATACTGACTACCTCTTGGAAAGAAGTCCCATGAACGATGAACGTTACAGGAGGAAATCCCATGGTTTTGTAAACAAAACTGTTATATGAACGTTCAAAGGGAGCTCCTACGGATATTAAGAATAGAACATTCAAGAAGGTCCAAAAAGAACATGTGACGTTTCAAGGAGAATTCTCAAGAACGTATGGATGGACATGGGATTTAAAACGAAAGTCTTCAGGATGTCACAAAGGTACATTCCTAGACTAGTCGTTTGCGGAAGTCCTGCGAAAGTTCTGAAACTCTCAGACATAGATGTGCCCTGAAACATTTCTAGATTAGCCATTTATGGACGTTCTCAAGATCTCGGTTTTTAGTTTGGGACGATAAAACTTTCATGGGATCTAAAACGGATGTCTTGGGGATGACCTAAGCTATTTGGGAATCCACCCGTTTGTACTTGAATAACTTGTCACATTATGTTACTAGTTTGGTAAAGTAACATTACTAATTTCTTGTTGAAAGGCAAATTGACAAAAAGTGGATAATCTTACAAATTCTGACTTTAGGTATATAATGAGTTATTGTTCAAGTACAGAGTGTTTTTTTATATTTTGATTCCTACCTACAGGTTATTATAATTAGGTATCATACTATGGAAGCTTACAAATCGCGTGGGGCGTGGGTAGGTACTTTGACACTGATAATGAGGATAATTTGCTTTTCAAATTTAAATATCTGAAAAGTTGGCGTAAATCTAGGTAATCTAATCGATCAATAATCACTGATGATGAGAATCATTTCCAAAAAACTATGGTGTATTGATCGCTATATGGAAAAAAATATTTTCTCGGTCTGATTCAAAACAAAATATGCGGTCCCATTACGATTCGGCTTTCATTTTCACTCTGCGCTTTTCTTAGAAACGGACTCGACGTTGCCTCAAACAGTGCTGCCATGTTCATTTAGCGGCGTTGCGGAGAATGGCAATTACAGACAACTCGTCGATTTCCCCCCTCGGTCCAGGGGGGACCATCGTCCATCGGTGGGCAGTTTGAATCTCGTCCATTGGTCAGCCCTCTTCGGACCGGTTATCGATCTCTTTTTTTTCTCCTGCTGTCCTTTTTCTGCTGCTAACGTATGCAACAGGAGTGGACTCTTCTCCTGCCGACGATGGTCTTATTGTATTAAATTAGCATCGGTTAAAGTGATCGACTTCTATGTGTGGACTAATTGGAATTTTGAAGGCTTTTTATTGCTCCAATGTATTGGTACTTACCTATACTATAGATAGAAGCGAATTTTATCATTTTGAAATTAAGAGGAATTAATGGATACGAGCTTAGCTAAATGAATTGGTTAGTTAAAAGCTGCATAAATATATTTTCTAGAAATTATGCAATGCGTCGTCGGCCATCATTCATCATTCTATTCACCGAAAAATAAGGGAAAGTAATTCCCTTTGACGCCCCCATTTCAACATGGAGGACGTTGGATGCGAACGTCCGATAAACGAATCGCACAGGGTTGTAATTACTTTAGCGTGACAAGGAAAATATAATAGGAAAACGGCCGCGCGTGTACGTACAACCTTTAATGACACTGACTTATTTTAATTACCTTTTGCGATCTGATCGAATGCATGAAACTATAAGTAGAGTGGGTTTTTTTTTTTGGTAAAACGTAGGTAATGAAATGTTGCATTGTTATACCTATTAAAATTATCATGATTCATTAAATTCATTCATTGAGCAAGTAGCTATACACTTATCTTATCTCTACACATGGGTTATGATGTCATTTCCGCTTACACATTTTCGTCGCATTTCTCGAGATTTACCCTCATATCGCAGTGAAAAATGTTCACACCAGAAAGTCTTCAATATTACCTACATTAAAAAGTCTTCAATATTGCTTTTAGGAGTAAAATACACGCGACTTCTGTATTTGGGTAATTATAAATTCTCTGCTTCAATTTACCACACAGATCTATACGTAGGTATACAGAGTAATCAATGTTTTATTATTCCCGGCTCCTGTAGGAAATTTTCCACGAAAGCTGGTAATCGAAAACAATCCCACCACTGTTTAAAGATACGGGGTGATCAATATTTTATTATTCCCGGTTCTTAAATGTGAAAAATCTTTCAAGAGAGCCGGTAATGGAAAAAAAATTTACCCACTCACTGTAATTTGACTCAACAAAAATAAGCCACTGTACCTATAAAGATACAGAGTGATCAATATTTGATTATTCCCGGCTCTTTTAGGAAATCTTCCACGAAACCTGGTTATCGAAAACAATCTCACCACTGTGTAAAGATACAGAGTGATCAATATTTTATTGTCCCCGGCTCGTAATGTAGAAAATCTTTTACGAGAGCTGGTTATAGAAAACAATCTTACCCACTGTAATTTGATTCAACAAAAATAGACCACTGTATACAGGGTGTTCCTAAATATCATGTACAAACGAAAGGGGGTGATTCTTTGGTTAATTTTATGACTAAAATTTCTAATAAACATAGGTCCTCAAACGCTTCGTTGCCGATCTACAGGGTGTTGAAATTTTAATTCCTAAAAGTTGTTTTATTATTTATTATTAAAAACCAAACCAATGTCAAAGTTGGTTGGCAAAATAAGCATAGTTATTCAATTTATGTGCGCTGGTTTAATAGGAAACGCGACTTCGGATATAGTTTTACAAGTCTTATAGAAGCGGTAGACAATGTGCGCTGGCCTAATAGGAAACGCGATGCCAGACATAGTTCTACAAGTCCTAAAGGATTAGCGCCCCATATGTAGCGGTAACCAAATAGGAAACGGAAAAATGCTTCCTGGGTGAACCTGGACCTTAAAAACACTTTCAACTCGGCATGAGGGCCTAACGTGAGCGAAGAAATGGAAAAGGCAGGCGCACCAGGAAATCTCGGGCGCATTTGTGAGGACTTCTTGAAGGACCGTACTATCAAAACAGGCACAGTAAGCAAGGCAATGGAAACAGGATGCCCACAGGGGTCTAGCCTAGGATACTTATATGCTGTGACTTATAATCATAAAGGACAACGCAAACAACGAATAACAGAGAATCAATGGGAACAGACTAGCCGACACACAGGCATATGCAGATGACCAACTGATTGTTATGAAAGGCTCCTAGCACAGTATAGAACGCAAATGGCTAGAAGAGGGAAGTCTGAAGAGCGTGAAGGCATGGGAGAATACCAGCAAGGTGAAATACAATATACTGATAAAACAGAGACTCTGTTCATGCCACGACACGGGAATACTAGAGAACCCAGAATAAAATTTGAAGAACAGACAGTACCTAAACTCGAAACAATACCTGAAATCAGGGGCGCCGGGTTTCAGAAAACCTCGTGGGTGCTGAGGTTCATGCACCGGCATTTATAAGGGGGGTGAACAGCCCGCCGGTGGCGAAAAAACTTCTCCAGATGCCACGCCTAATAACGTTTACCAGCATTCTTTAATTTACATTCGAACGAGTGTCTAAGAAGGGAATGGTGATACATTTCAAACAACGTAGTTCACACCTTTCCATATTCGTTTTTCAGCTGCGGGAACTAGTGTTGCTTGGTGCTTGCGTAAGTTTTTTGCGGTGTCTGCTAAAATTGGAAAAAAAGGATGGCTTTAAGGGTAAAGAGTAGTGTTTTCTCAGCTTTCAGAACAATACCCACTTCTACTACGTAAAAGCCCCCCTCCAGTATAGCCATCATACCACTACCCACCTCCACTGTAAACCCCCTTACGTGAAGCTCCTAAGCTGAGGAGGCACTTTTTACCCACCTCCACTGTAAACCCTCTTCCGTAAAGTCCTCCATTAATCTATTTTCAAAAGGCTCCTACCCTGAGATGGCACTTTTTTATATTCCTCCACTTTCTTGAACACTAAATAATATTTACCCAATTCTTCCATTTGTATTCGTCAATTTTGTGGTTGGCCCGACTCAAATTCCCAAAATTTCAGATCAAAGGCGCCGCTGATCTAGAGATTTTCCCACGTTATCGAAAAACTTCCTAGGTTCAAGTGCCCCCAGCTATCAGACTAGCAGATTCACAAGCAAAATATTTATTATTGCAATAAAATTAATGCACCTGTTTATGGCCAATACCCACCTCACAGCCATCAGAGCAATACCCACCTCCACTACGTCAAAAAGCTTCTACTCTGAAGAGGTACCTCTTTTCATATCCCTTCACTTTCTTGAAAGCTAAAGAATATTTCAACAATTCCTGCATTTGTATTCATCAATAGTGTTCTAAACTCCATGAGATTAATTTTTTTGCAATAATAACATTTTGCTTGTGAATCTGGTGGACCACTCACGTAGTAGAGGTGGGTATTGGTCTGATAGCTGGGGGCACTTGAGCCTGGGAAGTTTTTCGATACCGTGGGAAAATCTCTAGATCGGCGGCGCTTTTGATCTGAAATTTTAGGGATTTGACCCGGGCCAACTCCAAAATTGACGAATACAAATAGAAGAATTGGTTAAATATTCTTTAGTTTTCAAGAAAGTGAAGGGATATAATAAAATGCCATCTCAGGGTAGGAGCCTTTTGAAAATAGATTAATGGAGGGCTTTACGGAAGAGGGTTTACAGTGCAGGTGAGTAAAAAGTGCCTCCTCAGGGTAGTAGCTTCACGGAAGGAGGTACAGTGGAGGTGGGTAGTAGTATGATGACTGTGCTGGAGGGGGGTTTTTACGTGGTATAGAGGTGGGTATTGGTCTGATAGCTATGAAAACACTCTACTGTAAAGTGTGGAAAACTCTCCTGCAGATATTCTTTTCCAAGCAGCATGTACCGAAAATCTGCGTTTTACGCTGTTCACCATAAAAGATTTCTGATTTTCTTCATCTTCTTTTTCTTCTAAACAATGTTCCGATATCAACTGCCAGTACTGGATTTACTGTGCTGATTTTAATGTCATTTGCCGTTCAAATTTCAACAGCGTACTCTTGTGGTCATTCAGTACTGAATCCAGTGTACTGAAAATAATATTGGAACGGCGTCCAGTAAATTCAGGACTTACAGAGTTGATATCGGAACATAACCTATATATAAACAAATATAACCATACGTTAACCATTAGCTCTGTTCCAACAGACATGAGAACCGTTACAGAACCAATAATTTCCAGTTGCCCACCTATTTTTCAATAAGTTAAACGTTTTTCCTAATTGACAAATGGATTGATCGACTGGAAATTACCGTTCTAGAAAGGTTTTCATGTCTGTTGGAACAGAGCTAAACTAACCGAATCGGTCAACAGATGTTTACTGAAAATTCCGGTTACTTTGGGGAACGCAAATATGGAAATAAAACATAATTGACAGAAGTTACAGATAAAACCTTGATAAAACCAACAGAACCGACATCCGATGGCCGGTAACTATTTTGACATTTGGTTAACCAGATTTCAGGAACTCGAGGTACAAACAATAGCCACTACAAAAGGCATCTATTGGGCAACTCCAATCAAAACAGATCAACAAACCGCTGGTCAACCTTAGCAAGAATAGAAGTCTTAAAACTCTAACAGGGTTTTTCTCCGAATACTGCAGACTCGAGGAATACCTACTGAAAGTCGTTTAATGGCCCAATTTATTCACGTACTGATAAACTGTCTAATAAAAACGCAATCTGTCGTATTGTTTTTTACCAACTAGCAGGTTTATCGGAAGATGAATAAACCGGGGGCGAGTATGCGAAGAATCTGATGGGACGTCCCCTTATACAACTTAGAAGACATTCCATTTCTGAAACTACTGAATATCCTTCATAAGATTCTTGAAGAAAACGACTTAGGACTAGAAGGGTTCAAGTTAGGTCAACGTTTACTAATATTATTTTACGAATATTGGTTGGTAGTCCTAGAAATCGTCAAGACGATAAAGTTCTATTTGTTGTCGATAGTACAGATTTCAGGTTTCACGAAAACTATTTTAATCGTACCTACTTTGCGCAAGAAAAAAAAAAAAGAAATTTTACCTGACATCGTAGGATAAGACGAGTACGCCGACTCGATCGAGGGATGTTGCCAGTCCATGGCTTTGCAAGGCGCGTGCGAGCTCATGTGCAACCTGGACCCCGGCAGCAACAGTCCGCCGTACTGCGCCGCCATATTGTGGTGATGGTAGTCGTGGACCGCCCGATGGTGCTGACTGTATTGGTACCAGGCGTCGCCTGGATGGTAGTGATCCGAGTAAAGATCTGCGGCCGAGGTACCGTGGTGGCCTCCTCCCGCTGCCCCGCTATAGTGCTGACTGTTCCAGAAGGAGGGAGGGAAGTTTCGCGATGACATTGGAGAACTTTCTGGAAGATAATATTAATCGATTTTATTAAGTGTAACTTGAATTAAAAAGTGTGTTATTTATCATTAAAATGAATGCACCAGTTAATTTAAATAGATAGAGCAACAACCGTCCAATATTTATCACCATCAGCAGCAACCAGAACCAAAACCAAGAACCAACCATCGGCTGAAGTTAGAGAGGCATGGGAATCGGCGAAAGCCTTCAAATGGGGCGGCAACTTCAAAAGACTAATCGACATTATAAAACTGAAGTTAACATTGGGGAAAATAAAAAAATAATCAGATAGCGAGAGCTGGAAAGCGTTTCATATAAATCACTGTTGTGTTTTGTTGTTCGGAGGTTGGTTCGCGGCAATTTACGTCTATCCCGCTCTCGCAGCTCGTTCTTTCTTTTTCGTTTTAAACTGGTTTGTTTCTTTGGTCACCTTTTCGAATATAATGTTCGGCGGGGCCGATAAGGGTCTCTTTATCGATGCCTTACCGCTTCGCCGGAATGCGCCCATCGGAATCCTCATCGGTCATTGGTGGCTTTAATTGGACCAAATTTGTTGAGTTTTTGTATTTTTTTTTTTGTTTTTGTTTTCTTGCCTTTTTGATCGTCGACTGTATACGTATTATATTTTTGACATACGCGGCGAGATTCAGCAAATAAAGTTGTTGTTGAAACGATTTTATAGGTATATTGTTGAAAATAATTTATTGACAGTCTAATTTGGATTCCATGCATTTTAAATGACACCAATAATTGTAGAACTCGCCACAAATCCCATAGAGCAGCCACTTTGGGCACTTATAACTTTTCGCTATCCATTATAAAGTGTCCAAAATGACTGGACAAAGTTGACTAAATGAATAAAAAACTTTGTTGGAAAGTATATCTGTCTCTTTTCGAATCCTATAACTTGAAAAAGGATTAAGAAAGTTAAATAGGTATTTACATTACAAGTGCGTTTATGAAAGGTCTATAAACCTAGCGCAGTCCCAAGGCGGAAAAAAACTTCGGGAACTATACAGGGTGTTCGGCACATAAGTAGACATACGTAAATCTAAGATAGGTGGGGCCGTCTGCTATGCGGTCCACACAGATTTTTCGACCTGGGCCCTAAGAATTTTTTTTAGAATTTTTTCAATTTTTTTTTCCAAAATTTTCAATTTGCAGATAATAAACTGAAATAACTCTTTGAAAAATCATGAAACTGACAACATTTTTATTTTATATTCATCTAGACTAATTCTAGAATCATACAAATTTAATAATTGGGACCCATGAATGCTACAAAGAAAATATTTAGGAGCACCTAAAAAGCACCTAATTCTGGTACAAAAACTAGAGGAGCACCTAATTTTTAATTAGAGGCCCTAATTAGCACCTAAAAAGCACCTAATTATTATATAGATCTCGAAGATTTTTTGCCATTCTGATACACCAACAAGAAAACATAAAGCCAGCAGTCCCCTTATAATTAAAAAAAAATCTGTAACTCAGTTAATAATTAATCAATTTTATTTTTTCTTCGATTATTTAGGAGCACCTAAAAAGCACCTAATTCTGATACAAAAGAAAATTTTGGAAAATTATTTTTTACTATAGGGGACTACTAGCTTTCATAAACCTAGCAGTCCCTTAGTTGTTTTTGATTTTCTCAGAAACTAGAGGAGCACCGAATTTTTAATTAGAGGCCCTAATTAGCACCTAAAAAGCACCTAATTATTATATGGATCCCGAAGATTTTTTGCCATTTTGACACACCAACAAGAAAACATAAAGCCAGCAGTCCCCTTATAATTAAAAAAAAATCTGTAACTCAGCTAATAATTAATCAATTTTATTTTTTCTCCGATTATTTAGGAGCACCTAAAAAGCACCTAATTCTGATAGAAAAGAAATTTTTGGAAAAATATTTTTCACTATAGGGGACTGCTAGCTTTTATAAACCTAGCAGTCCCTTAGTTTTTTTTTTGATTTTCTCAAAAACTAAAGGAGCACCTAATTATTAATTAGAGACCCTAATTAGCACCTAAAAAGCACCTAATTATTATATAGTTCCCGAATTTTTTTCCACCTTGAGACTGCTAGGTTTATAGACCTCATAAAACACAATAAATAATATAATCACGTGTTTCAGGGCTTTCAGGTTTTCATAATTTAAGGGTGGGAAACGGGAGGTGAAAGCACAGAATATGATTCAATATTTAAGAATCAAGATCATTGATCCATAATTGAACCATTTCGAATGTTGTTCGATGTGTATAGGCATCTAAATAAAAACCGCAGCGATCAGTGATTTCACAATCCTGACAATCTTCAAATGCTGCTCCTAATTACCTATACGCGAGAGATTCAACTAATTATTATTCGATGATCGCTTCTTATGTAAACATAATACCTAATCATTGTCATACGATACCGACCATATGGAAGCTGTTTTTCTTTTATTAATTCGGTGTAAAAATGTATCCATGTGTCGCAAGTGCAATCTGCCATAGCTGGTCTATATTTGGAATAAATAATGTATTATTGGATTTCTACAGGCCTTTCAAGGTATGTATTTTATATAATAGCTACTAGACGTATACGTCTATCTTTATTATTTTGTGCCATTAAAATATACAAGTTTTCGTGTATAAATTGCATTATTTGCGTTAAATTGTTAACGGGATGATTCTTCCTGGCCACACTTTTCATCAAACTTTTCATTCTTCCCCGAATCATCGAGATAGAGGTTGAATAATGGAATTAATTTCCTAATCTAATGACCGGTACTAACTCAATTTAAATAAGTCCCATGCCCCAACTACCATCAAAATTCCCCAGAACTTTTCACCTTAGAGTTTTGACAGAACCTTTTTAAAGGACATTGAAGGAGGGACAAGCAGAGGTCATTCAGGTCGAGGACTTTCCACGATTAAGTGTTTGGGAAAACTCCTCAGGCACATTTTGCCAATTTCTGAGTTGCCCAGTTTTCGCTCATAGATCTAGGGTGGCTAATCCGCTATTTTAGCACCAAATCGCCTTGTGCGGATTTCTTTGTGAGCCGAAAAAGAGCATCGTGATTGATTGTTTGTTCCTAAAGGCCAAAGTATTTTAGTAAGTGGTTTTTCTTATTTGTCTTCTCTGTGTGTCTCTATTTTCTATGTTAAAGCATAGTTTTCTAAGTTTTCTGTAAATTCCGAATATTGGATATACCTACCTATCGCTCCACGCCCAGTCTCATAACGTCCATTTGTTTCAGGCCCTATTTATTCACGCTTTGGTCCTTAACTTGAGTAGAGAGTTAACCGTTAAGCTTACTGTATATTTCAAGTTGTACCTCCTATCTTCAGCCTCCTCTAGACAATTGGAAGCTATAGTGACTCCTAGTTAATGAACTTCAGTGCCCAGGGCCAATTGCTTCTTGTTGCGGCCCTGATCCAATCCCAGGCCACCGGAAACACTGGAAGATATCAATCCAATCCTTCAGGTTCCCCTCAAGGGATTAGGGACTACTCAGGTTTGATAAGTGTGTTGTATTGTCTCAATATCTGGAACCTATCAAACCTTACCAACCCCTTGTGGGAATAAATCACTACAACAACGCAGTTTTCTACTACAATATTAAAGCCCTTCAGGTTTTTGTTATTTCAATTTTAATTAAGTATCTTTATTACCTATATTATAAGAAACTTGCACGTCAGGTTATGTATTGTTACTTCAATTTTAATTATTTATTTATATTATCTATATTATTCCATAATATTAAATTCGCCCTTCAGGTTACGTATTGTCACTTCAACTTCAATAATTAATGATCTATATCTCTCTAATATCCCATAAATAGATGCTGCACTGAATACAGGAAAATACTTGTACACTGGAGTTGAGTGGCCATTTACGAAGGTACTGCATTTAGTAAGCTTGTTTAATAATTTACATTTCAGGTATTATTGCTGTTATAAGTGTTATACAATACTCTTTATTTCTTTATTTAGGTTGAGTTAATTTATTGTAAATATCATTTTTAGACCATAAGGTTAGGTACTCCTAGTCGATTTATTTTGTTCTTGTTCTGGTTCTAGTGTTAATAATTTTCAGTGTTCCAGGGCGTTCGGAAAACCCACTCCGAATCTGCTCTAAAGTCAAACCTGTTATGGTTCTAATTAAAAACCCGTACCTGATTGTAGCAAAGCGTTTTACTTCTGTGCTTTCTTCTTGTTTAGTTTTATATTTCAGGTTGTGTTGCTATAGGTCCGTAGAAGTTTCCTGCTTTCGTTATATCGGTTAACTTCGTGTACTGCAGGGAAAAGCAGGTGGCGTTCTATATTTAAATATGTAATTGATCCATATTCCTCTCCGCATTGGAAGCTAGTCGGCAACCCTTCACACCAAGTCCCGTTTCTAGATTTTAGCCACCGACCAACCCTCTCTTTCTCTTTCTAATTTTTTTTGTTTTAGTTACCCATTCTCATTCACTGTCTCACTTATAATGTAGGAAACTTTGTTTTGATAATCGTCTGGAGTTTCTTTTCCGACTTTTGCTAACTGGGAATTCCCGAAACAGAGGAACAGCGTTCTCATGAGAACGATTGCTCTGTTATTGTCAGTGTTATGGAAATATGAATATGGATGACGAAGACAGAACCTTTGTTCTGCTTCACCCCTGTTTCGAGAATAATCCGGTCCCTGGTAGGTACCTACTACCTACCTAGTCATTTCTTGAAGAAATACATATTTTTTTTAAATTGATTTATATTTTATAGGAGTATACACATACTGGGTAATTAGTGGTCGTAAAAGTGACAAAAATATATGTGATTTATTCGGGATTGGTCCCCTAGCAGCGGCCGTATGTTTTCGCTTTCTTTTTAAACACAGGATTAATAGGGGGCCGTATATTTCTCGCATGCAAAATTTTTGGCGCCCCATATCGAGCTCATTTGTATATTGTCGCAGTAGTCGGACATGGTGCTTCTTTTATTCTACATCAACGTGATTAATTTAACTGGTCAAAATTTTAAGTTATGGCATTTGCATTAAAGAATTATTATAGATCCTTTAAAAGTCGGTCTACAAGGTTCAATTTGTATAACATAAAGGTATATATATGTGATGCAGAAGATCTGGATCTATTTTTTTCCGATATTTTTTTGGTTCTCCATTGTTTGGGTAATTCTAGAGAGAGAGTTTTTTCTGTTGAAAACCCAAATCCCTAAATAAAATGTGAGAAATCGAAATGTCATCAACTTTATGAAACAGACCGCGCTCTCAGCTTTATCTTGGTACGAGTGATAATAATAATTAATATTGGTAAAATGAGTGTTCAAATTATCATAGGACTATCAGGTTACCTTTCGTATGTGTCGACGTCTTGTCCAACGCCCTGTTAAAATGTTCGTCGACCACTGAGGCTGCGTCGCCCTGATAATGCGTAAAAACAACGCAATTGGCCGAAACGTATTGCGCCCTCGAGCTGGTTGCGTCTTGTGAATCGTCGTCGTCTTCCACGCCAGCAGCTTGTCGATCTGAAATAAAACAGCAACAATAATATTTTGAAACACCCTGTGTATATATAAAAGTTTCTTTATATCAGATATTGACTAAAAAACACTAGAAAGATCCTAATCAAAGAATTATAGGGAAAAGCAACCGCACAACCAACAAAGATTGAGTTGACAACCATAAATATTTTTTTATGTTAAAGATGTTTATCCTTGAGAACCTAGATCCCTTTGTCTATGACGATGACAACATATCCAAACTTATAAATTAAAGAGGATGACAAATGACAATGAAAATTAACTATATTATATTGAGTCGATGAGAGCTTCTGTATGTACAAGTCCTAACAGAAGATAGATACCTTTTTTTGAAGTTTTAGCTACGTAAAGAGAAGTAAATAGATATATATGTAATATTTGTCCAATTTTTTGAAATAAATCAGAGACCGAAGAACTGAAGAAAAAAAATTCTGCATATTCACCTGATGACTTTCTGGTTTTTAGTGGACCTTCACAATCGAGGACACAGTTTCACAATTTGGAAATTAGATAGTCCAGCATAGGTACTTACTATCTACTGCTGCGAAAGAGTAAAATTTGAAAGATAATCTCAATCACCTGTGAAATGACACACTGTGTACCGCATTCCAATTTAAGATTAAATTGAAATATGTAATTCATTTATGTCCAAGGTCTCTTAACAGGTACCTTAGTCGTAAAAATATTTCTATTATTATTACTTATAATAGTTGATAAGGATATAAGGTCACAAAGCGGCACATCAAGAAGAGAGTTTTTAAGAGGTTTTTCAGCTCCTTAACGGCGAAATTTATGGCGTAATATGTCAGGCGGTTTTTAATTTAACTCCTCTAAGGATGCCGGCTCGTTAACTTGAAATAAAACTACCTGATGATGTCAAAATAAAACAAACAATAAATTTAAGGAAACAGAAGCGAGAAATCAACATGCCTATAGTGGGTATAAATTAAAAAGTTTGGTAGATGGTAGATGCCTACTTACCGAAAAACTTTTGGAGGTCCCAGGCCACGTATACAGGGTATTTGATTATAGATATTTAAGCCCATACCTATAGCCTTTACTATTTAAGATAGAAAAAAAATTCAAATACTACAAATGAAAAAACGTGGACAACTTCGACTTTCTTTAATGGAACACCCTGTATATTATACGATAACATGAAAGATCTTTTCTTCCTGATTCCAACTACTATAGATATATTAATCTTATTATTTGCGTGAGCCATTTTTGAGATGTCTTAGCTTAAATCATAAATAATTTGCGAAGAAATTTCATAAGGATGTCAAGAGATAATAATCACAAAAAGTTTAGGAAACCTCACTTGACTTGCAAATTACTTTGAGGGTGATTTAAAGGGGTAAAACTAGTTATTGCGATCCATGAAAAAAGGGTTTTTATGAAAATATAAACATTTCCACTCTAGTCTCGGACACAAATGTGTACTTCAAGTTATAGGCAGTACCAATATATACCATTTGAAGTAAGTACATTTTTGTTTTTAGCATAATCTTAATTTAAATTATTGAAATTTGTAAACAATTAAAATAATTTTAGCGGATTTTTATCTATTCTCTTTTATTCCACGTGGTTTTTCATTGTGAAATGAATATGGTCTTTTTAGTGTAGTTTTCTGATTGGTTGATCTGGTTAATACGTAGTTTTAAGTATAAAAAACACAAGATTGGTTTCCTGCAAGGTTCGGTTTCTAAGACGCTCTCTTATTCTGGCAGGCAAGTGAAATTTGATTTTCAATAATTTTTCCTTCAAGTTTCTAGATCCTCCCTGAATAATTTCTAATGTACTTTACCATCAATGGATACTATCATATCACTGTTAAGTTTTTACCTGATAAATCCTATCTTATCTTATCTATTTTTGAAATATAAATATTATATTTTAATTTTTTATCTAATTGTGGGTTTCCATTTTGTGTGAGTGCTGATTGGTGGTTCCACGTTTTTCTGAGGTAAGTCAATTCAGACTTTTGGGCTGATAAATAGGTACTGCTGCTCTGGTTTTCAGAATCAATTGTTAGTGTGGGAATATTGGACCATTTGCTCTAAATAGAGTCGGTGAAAACCAAATTTGTGTGTCCATCCCTATCAACTCTTTATTGAATCCAGGCAGAGGCCTGTATAGCCATTTTCTGTTTGACTCCATCAATTATTATCTTCTCGGAGAGAAGAGGGTGCAATTTTCAAAATAGAAACCCAGACAGTTCAAAAAATTCATTTAAAAACTTTCAATTGAAACATCTCAAGAATTTTGACATATACTGGGTTTGATTGATTTTAGCTTCAGGTTTATCTTGTTGTGCCTGTGGTGGCTACCTTAACTTGAATGGAAAATTTTGTCTATTTGGGGGAAAATCTAGAGATTTAATTTCTTATCTTTTATTTGATTTTGTTCATATTCTGGCCTATTATCGCTACTGCCAGAGAAGCAGCACCCTGCACAATTTGTAAGGAGCATTTTAATTTAATTTTGCTGTTGTTACATATTTTACTATTTGCTATTATTTTATCATTACTTTCAATTATTTAATTGTTTCTTTTTATGTTAATAGTTATTTACATTACAAGTGCGTTTAGGAACATGATTACAATAACGAGTGTGAAAGATTAGAACGACGAGGTCGTAGACCGAGTCGTTCTAATCACACGAGTATTGTTTTCCAATTATTTTCGTTTATTAGTAGCTGTCTATCTTCATTTTACCTTTACAGGTTTAACGTTGACATTTGTCAAATCACCAAAAATAGTTGTGTTATGAATTCATAACCTAGTCCATAACACCACTATGTGTTATGAGACTCATGACATAACTCAAATACTAGAAAAATGGTTATGTAAAAACGTTATAACCAAACGCTTGTAGATAAAAAAAAAAAAAATTCTAATTTGCAATAGTTGCTCATACCTGATTCTGTTGGAAAGGAGTGTCTGTACAACAATGGTTTTATAATAAATTTCAATTTAAATTTTCTTTGCAAGATGCTCACTTTTTGACAGAATTCAGGCATTTAATATTCCAAATCTTGGTGAACCTGATTTTGCCTTATTCGTTTCTGGGTACCTACTCGACATAAAGATCACTGTTTGGAGTCTGGATCAGCTGGAGTGACGTCACTCCAGCAATCTATCCTCTTCCTGGATACAGGAAACAATACGAAAGGCTCCAGTTCATGAAAGTGAAACCTCAACATCTATTGAAGAGCTCCGGATTGGAAAGGTACATGGTATCAAATTCACCAGAACAACAAGCTGTCAACTGTAGAATTTTACAGAAAATAACATTGACTATTACTACATGACATTGTAAACAAAATATTTTGAGTGGTTCCATTTGCACATAAAGGGACTAGGGACTACACGTTATTTTAATTTATTGAATTCCACGACCCTATAAGGTTCTCTTATTTTAAAGTTCAAATAATCAATCTAATTTGTAACAGGGTCTAAATGGTACTGGAAGTTATATAGGCGGTACCAATATACATCGTTTAGAGAACTTCATTTGACTTGCAACTTGCGAATTACTTTGAAGGTATGCAATTTATCATTTCAATATTGAAGATTTTAACCATCAAAGGTACTACCTATGGCTATTATTGCGTCAACGTCAATAAGAACTAATTTCGTCCAAAAAAATATCACCAATTACTTATTTAAAAAATCAAAAGTCTTCCTTATTGCTTTCATTGAATGACATCAGTAACTTACCCTCAGTACTACTTCTGCCATGCAAACTGCACTCCTCTTCTTTGCCGGGTCGAAGAGGGCTGGTGGGCGACCCGCCGCCCGTCGAACTGACCGAACCCCCACTCGAATGGGCGCCGCCGCCCGACCCTTGCAAGTACAGCGAATGGTGATGGGCGGCGAGGGGATGCGCGTCGCCCAGGACGCCGCCGGCGCCGATAGATGCGGCCGTCGCGACGCTCGATGCCGCCGCTGCTGCTGCTTGCGAGGACAGGGCATGGGCGTCTTGCAGTCGTTGTACATTAAACTGGAAAGATATGCAACATTATTATTTACAACCATTATCAATAGGTATGATTGTTATAATGTCATCATGAGAAAGCTTTATTATAAACAAGAATCTCAATTTTTAACAAAAAATGTTCAGTTACAATGCAATTACGAAAAATAATAGTTCTTTATACCTCGAATCACATGACACTTTTATATTTTTTGAATTTCCTGCGTATTTTTCTTCACAAAATCTCTTGTTATGAAACATTTATCCTTATATAGGACGTAGATAATGGTTTCAACACTCTCAACCATGCATGCATTCGTTCTAAAAATACTTCTGGTTAACATGTTGTTAACAACTCTTTAGTTGTGTCCCGTTTATCTGTGTACTAACCCGAACTTAAAGGCCGACTTGTCCGTCCGATGTCCGATTCATCAAAATTGTCGACGTCTTAATAGGCAGTATTTGACAATATTATCTATCACTATGGCTTCGAGCCTTCCCGCTATATGCTGCTATAGGTAACCATAATGCATCAAGATAAAATAAATTAATATTAATTCCGACCTTTATCGTTCGGCTTTCCGACAAAGACCAATATTTATGGGCACTCGTAATTTGTTAAAATGCTTGTTGCACTTACACTCGCTCGACCACCATTATTTATGCTCCCAGGTTATATTGGACATTGGAGCTATACAGAATAAGATAACCTGCCGGACGGCACCGCCAGTATACTAACTGCTCTTACCTGGGCTCAAGAAATATGCTTTGCTGATTTTGTTGACAGTAAAGTAATGGTCTGCTTTAGTAGCTACTTGTTATTGAGGATTTCAAAAACTTGACTCTTCGAACCGGTTGCATCATCGTCATCCAAAATCCATACATCAGAAAAGGTCTTAGAACTTGGCCCAAAATTGGCTGCAAAAGACTCTTCCTGCTTATCTTTTTGGTTACACGAATAAGTGAGAAGCTAAGCATTAGAACAATATTAGGGTGTAAAATTGAATAACCATTGTGGATTGACTTCCGATTTGCTTAAGTTTAGTGTGGTAACTAAACTACTGGACAACTTGCCAACAGAAGAAAAATTTCGCCTAACTTTCAAGCTCATTATTTTTGGAACCCAGACCAAATATCGACCTCCGGTTTTCACGAGTCAACAGATTGATTTTTTGTTAAAAAAATGATGTATGGAAACCAGAAGCTGATGTTTTGGTTCCAAAAATATCGAGCTTGAAGGTAAGGCAAAATTTTTCTTTTGTTCGAAAGCAATTGTCCAACAGTTCATTTCAAATGAACCGACGAGTTAAAACCAATTTTCTGCTTCATCCTAAAATAAACCTAAAGAAAATCAATTGTCAAAAAACATGAAACCAATTTTCTCATGGTATAATATGCCCATGAAATAGAAAAACATATTTAACCCGAAAAATCTGACCCATTATACATTCCTTTTCTGGGGACTATGGGAAATCATCATAACCATGAATCTTCGAGATCAAACTCGAACTCGTTTAGTATAAAAGAAAAAAAAACACGTGTCATGGCAGTGTTTGGTGCAATAATTTTAAACAGATAAAATCTATTCCTACTGACATTTTGGATGTTTATTCGTTTAATTTTATCGTAGGAATAGGTACGTTGAAATTCGAATAGAATAGATGGTATAATAAAAACAAAAGATACGAAAATGGATAAGTGTATCTACTAAAAATTTGAAAACCACCAACTTTTTTTCTATTATACAGATAGAATGCTGAAATTTTCAGCGTTTTTTATCCTAATACAGGACTGAAATCCCTGAAAATTTCAGCTTATTTGGACTTATAGTTCCAGAAATAAAATCGTGTTAAGCAATTTTGGGTGAATTATCAATTTTTCAATTTTTCTGAGTGCCTTTTTTCATAGAATCTCGCTCCAAATCTCAGAATAATTTAGTTTATGGAGTATCACGAGGGACCATTAGGACACAAAATCTCGACAAAAAAAAATTTGAAATTTCATCATTTTAGTAAGAAGCGAGGTAAGAAGGTACCCCCCTTATGATTTTTTTGGAAAACTTTGAAAGGTCATAACTTTTTTTCTATTATAAATAGAAAGCTGATCAGCTCATTTGCACTTCCTGAGATAAAATCGTGCTAAGCAATTGTGGTGATTTATCAATTTTTCAATTTTTCTGAGTGCCTTTTTTTATAGATTTCGGCTTCAAATCTGAGGATAATTTGGTTTATGGAGTTCAGGGTATCACGAAGGACCATTAAGACACAAAATCTCGACAAAAAAAAAATTGAAATTTCATCGTTTAGTAAGACGGTAGCTACCTTATTATGATTTAGATTTTGGAAAACTTTGAGAGGTCATAACTTTTTTTCTATCAAAGATAGAAACCTGAATTTTTCAGCAATTCTTATCCCAAGTAGAGGACTACAATCGCTGAAATTTCAGCTCATTTGGACTTGTTCCAGAAATAAAATCGTGTTAAGCAATTTTGGGTGGGTTTATCAATTTTTCAATTTTTCGGGGTACGTTTTTCATAGATTTCGGTTTCAAATTTCAGAATATGGAGGCAAGGACGTCCGAAGACTTTTGATTAGAGGGGTGGCGAAGGTAAAATCTTCCAACTGGTCTTTCTCAAAAATTCCAACTAGCAGGCGCGTAGCCAGAAAATTCAGATAAGGGGGGTCAGCGGCGGATTTAGGATTCCTTCTAGGGGGGGGCGATCCATCAGGGCCTCAGGCTCAGATAAGAAATAATAAAAAAACGACTTAAATATACAGAGTGACAAAAAAGTCGCGTATAATACCTGTAACTTTCTAATTACCTCGTATACGAAAAAGTGACCTTAATGAAAGTTGCTCAGTAAATTAGGGACATAAAGCTTCCGTATTTTTTGCTCGGTATCCGTATCGGTATCCTACTGCGCATGTGCAGAAGCGATACGGAGGCCGAGATACCGTACGTACAACGTAACGTTACGGCCCTCTCGCGGTATCCGTATCGGTAACGTATCTTGACATTCCTGACGCATGTGTCAAATTTCAAATGAATATAACCTCCCTTTTCTTCCGGGTTGATTTAATTTGTTTAGTTTTTACTTTCTTGAGTTTCTTGTGTTTAGTGCTTCTCTATCGCAAAAAAAATAACAATTTTAAGGTTAGATATAAAAACGCCGAAGTTTTGAGACAAAAATGTCTAGGTTATGAAATGCGTTTACGTTTACCGGAACAGGGAGCGCTTTAACAGCCTTTTCGCTTGTCAACGTATCTAGTTGCGTTACGGATACCGATACCGATGAATTATTTCAAGTAGCTTTATGTCCCTAATATTTCCCACAATTCTACTTAAACGTATTGCCTGTGTCACTTCTGGTTTGTTTGCTATCTAGACCAACTTTCTTTTTTTCAAATAAAACACCCTGTATGTGATTGCATATTTGGATTCTACGTAAAATTCTGAGCAGATTTCATGTGATATACCCTATACCTAAGTTCAACTGTTTTGGAAATATTGACAGTTGAACATTGACTTTTTGCAACTTTGACAGGCTGTAAAACCTGAACGGTTAATTTAATTTTTAATTAGAGGCCCTAATTAGCACCTAAAAAGCACCTAATTCTGATACAAAAGAAAACTTTGGAAAAATATTTATTACTATAGGGGACTACTAGCTTTCATAAACCTATAGCAATCCCTTAATTTTTTTTGATTTTCTCAAAAACTAGAGGAGCACCTAATTTTTGATAAGAGGCCCTAATTAGCACCTAAAAAGCACCTAATTCTGATACAAAAGAAAACTTCGGAAAAATATTTTTTACTATAGCGGACTACTAGCTTTCCTAAACCTAGCAATCCCTTAGTTTTTTTGATTTTCTCAAAAACTAGATGAGCACCTAATTTTTGATTAGAGGCCCTAATTAGCACCTAAAAAGCACCTAATTCTGATATAAAAGAAAACTTTGGAAAAATATTTATTACTATAGGGGACTACTAGCTTTCATAAACCTATAGCAATCCCTTAATTTTTTTTGATTTTCTCAAAAACTAGAGGAGCACCTAATTTTTGATTAGAGGCCCTAATTAGCACCTAAAAAGCACCTAATTCTGATATAAAAGAAAACTTTGGAAAAATATTTATTACTATAGGGGACTACTAGCTTTCATAAACCTATAGCAATCCCTTAATTTTTTTTGATTTTCTCAAAAACTAGAGGAGCACCTAATTTTTGATAAGAGGCCCTAATTAGCACCTAAAAAGCACCTAATTCTGATACAAAAGAAAACTTTGGAAAAATATTTTTTACTATAGGGGCCTACTAGCTTTCATAAACCTATAGCAATCCCTTAGTTTTTTTTGATTTTCTTAAAAACTAGAGGAGCACCTAATTTTTGATTAGAGGCCCTAATTAGCACCTAAAAAGCACCTAATTCTGATATAAAAGAAAACTTTGGAAAAATATTTTTTACTATAGGGGACTACAAGCTTTCATAAACCTATAGCAATCCCTTAGTTTTTTTTGATTTTCTCAAAAACTAGAGGAGCACCTAATTTTTGATTAGAGGCCCTAATTAGCACCTAAAAAGCACTTAATTCTGATACAAAAGAAAACTTCAGAAAAATATTTTTTACTATAGGGGACTACCAGCTTTCATAAACATATAGCAATGCCTTAGTTTTTTTTGATTTTCTCAAAAACTAGAGGAGCACCTAATTTTTGATTAGAGGCCCTAATTAGCACCTAAAAAGCACCTAATTCTGATACAAAAGAAAACTTCGGAAAAATATTTTTTACTATAGCGGACTACTAGCTTTCCTAAACCTAGCAATCCCTTAGTTTTTTTGATTTTCTCAAAAACTAGAGGAGCACCTAATTTTTGATTAGAGGCCCTAATTAGCACCTAAAAAGCACCTAATTCTGATATAAAAGAAAACTTTGGAAAAATATTTTTTACTATAGGGGACTACTAGCTTTCATAAACCTATAGCAATCCCTTAGTTTTTTTTGATTTTCTACCTACTAGCTTTCATA